CATAGCACTGAGTAGGCATGCAGTAAATATTAATCCAACAAAATAAAAACCACTGTACTTCTCCAACAATTTAACAGTGATTTGATGAGATCTTCTAGAAGAAAAAACATTGTTTTGCTCATCTAGTAATTTTGAGCAATGCCTAAAATTATCTTTCTTAAGGAATATTAGAGTATCCAAAGCTCTGAGAATTCTTGTAAGAAAGAAGCCACTCGATACTACACTTAACTCTTAAACCTATATGACAATAAATAGTTTTTTAAAAAGAAATACCCAGTCTATGGTCATACCACTCTGAATGTGCCTGGTCTCATCTAAAAAGAAACACCCAATAAAATCCTGTAGAAGGTGTTCTAAAGAATGTGTTTTAGGAAATGGTTCCATGGGCTATCACCACAGAGATGGTGATGTACATTTTCCTGTATTTATAAGGCTAGAGACAGATTTCCTGATGACTTAGGAAGAGAAATGTACTATCATTTACTGATCATTCTCACGAATGAACCTACCCCGCCTCCTGCAGCGGTGAATTCTCAGCCCTTCTTAAGTAGCTGCTACCACTGTGCAGCGGCCCAATGCTCTCAAAGCAAAGCTGGCAGCATTGGTCTACTTCACCCAGAAGCCGCCAGGCAAATGGCTTCAAATTTGAGTCTGTCTTACAGATGTAGGGTTAAATTTAACGTTGTATACTTCTCATTTAAATTTAATTACTTATTAGTGCATCATTTTCTCCAAAAAAAAAAAACCTGTTTTACAAGGACATCTCCCAGAGTCTTTCTTGAAATAATTTTCTCTCAGTTGAGGCATCAGTATATAATTTTTAATATGAACCTGAATATGATTTTGAAATGTAATGCAAGTTACTGATCCCGCAAAGAACTGTGAAAGTGTAGTAGTAGCTTGTGACTCATACAAAAACACTTTGTTCTGTCTGAACATCATCCCTATAACAGCACCACTCAAACTCACTTGCTTTCTAACATAGTTTCTTAACCGTGAGAGGAAGGGGCGTGCTGGTTGGCAGGCTGTGTTTGTGATATGTGTCTATTACTAATACTTCATTAGAAGGAGAGGTTTTAATTTATTCTTGATGAGAAACAAGAAAGAAACAGATGAAAAAGACTGCAAAACTGGGGAAAGGAGGCCTGATTTTGTGCCCCACCTGCCATGGAGACCATGACGAAAAACAGCTGATACAAAAAGCGAGCCTGCTTAATCCTTTTACTACATGCCTTAGTACAGATTAAAAATAATCACTCTTTACATAGCTTTTCAAGATCCCAAGAACTACACAAAGCAAGGTGAACCTGTGGCCATTTCAGAGTTAGGGGAGAAAGGTGGTGGCTCTCATCATATATCAAGGAGTTGCCAGCTGTCCTAGAGAAGTGCATTAAATAAACTGTTCTAATTTAGCTAGAAAGCTATGCAGAGCTGTCCTCTAATTAGAAAACAAATAAATGTATTCACACACATTTCAACTATGTTTGGGTTTGTTACAGCCTGCATTAAGTTATAAAAGTGAAAGTCCTCAAGTACAGTAAATCAAAGCTCAGTGTTTAACAAGCATTTAACACATCATACCCAAAGTTCCGAATCTTTGTGGAAGATATGAAATAGACTGAAACATTCCTGTCACCTCTAACTTCTGGCTGGGTTTTGCTTGCATTTTCTTTTTAGAATACCCATTTTGATAACAGGCGAGAGTTGAAGGAGACGCCCCTGTTTATGGCACTTCCAAGGTAAAAATGAAAAATTTCGATAAAGCTCACGGCCTTGAGGAAAATTTCAAGTGGTTTATTGCCTTAGTTGCCTCTTATTTCACCACACATTATCAGGCTGAATTGAAGGACAGATTCCGACTTTTGCTCTCTAGGCTAAACTCTATTCTCAGTGGAGACCGCTGCTGCTTACTTGAATGTTTTTTCCTTATTTATCTGTGTAGTCCTGTTTCAATGGGCTCAAAAACTGCAAAGCCCATAGGATGGAAGTCTGTACCTTGGCCAGTGGTGGGTATGAAAGATGTAAGCAAAGAGAAAAGTAAGTGCACCACAGTGAGGCAAACTATCCCCATTTCTTTTCAGGAGTTTTTCCTTTCCACCCTCTTTCTTTTCACAGGTTGAATAATGTTTAGCTGAGGTTTTCAGTAGAATTCGTCTAGGTTTTCAGTAGAACCCATCAGGTGTGAGAAAAATGGCCACAAGCCCCCTGGCCAGGGCATCTCTTATGACATTTGGCCTTTTCTGATACATATTAATCGTACAGCTAAGGGTGCTTTGTTACTGGCCCCAATTTCAGAGTAGGGCCTCATAAAGCTGGTGATGTTAAGACCAAAAATAATGTCATTTAGTGTCTAGGGAGAGGTTAAAAAGAGGATTAGATGCAGGCAGGCAGGCAGGGTATATTAAACTAGTCCATGACTAACAGGGTGTGACAGAAAAGAGTTTTATTCTTTTCAACAAAACAATTCCCTAGGGCTAGGACCATTACTCCACTGCGCCTTTATCACCTTGGAATTTTTATGGTTATTTCTGATGAATTCACATTTTTGTAAAGGCTTTTTTGAAATGATGCCAGTTTTCAATTTTTAATTAAAGTCGTAAATAATCTTAATTCTGCCTTAAAAGGTTTATTGTTTCTTTTTTTTTTTTTATTATTGCCTCCAGGAAATATTTCAAATACCAAGACCTGATGTGAGTGAGCAATTAGAATCTCTCCAAGGTCTAGTAACAACATTGTACCATGTAAATATAAGACACTGGTTGTTATATCAGTGCAAGATTTAGAAATGTAGATTGAACTGGCTCAGGTTTATTAGCAACTGCTTCTCTGATGGGAGTGGTATTTCCTCTTTTTGTTGGCTGAAGCAACTCTTATCACTTTAATTTCTACAAATTAATCCATCACAAATTCATAAAGGGTTTTTGAGATTTAAAAAAAAAGCAGGTTCAAATTTAGAAAGCAAAAACTGTAAACTCACTAAAGATTGGGCATAAAAGTCAACAAAGTCCATTTCATCCATTTGGAGGAAACACAGTAAAAATCAAAAGCTAAATCATCTAAAAGATACGCGGCTCATTTTGCCTAAGACAAATTTAAGAAAGACCTGCAATGTTAGATGCAGATCATAATACTACTTGACAACATATCCTTGAGATCTAGATTGTCTGTGGAAAGTTATTGGTAAACTGTCAGTAATATTATGTTTTTTAGTCTCAAGGTCTGGTTTTCTTTTTTCAATTAGTGCTTCTCTTCCTTTATACAGAGGTAGAAACATGTATATTTGAACAATAAAAATCTTTAATAATTTCTGAGAAGATCCATTGTTTCATTCTCGTATTTGTCAACCTGGGATGCCTTCTTAAATGGGTCATTGTGTTATTGCTTATTTATCTAGATAATGGATAAATAGCCTTTCATGTCTATGATAACCATTATGCTCTAAAAAGGTGCTCTCCAATTTTATTGATAAATTTGATACTATAGGTATAGCCTGACATGTGGAACAAGGTGGAGGCTGAGAACAGTCATACTTACAGTGAAAAACCTTTCATCTAGGAAGGTTATTTTTTAAAACAAATATAATTTACCACTTCAAATATTTAATGTACAGATAATGACAAAAGCCATTAATGATTCTGCTGAAAGTGCTTAGCACTATACAACAAGGGTGTATTATTTTAAGAAGATTAAGCATTTCCTTCCAATTTTACTTATACTATTACTTAGCAGTAGTATACCTTTGCTTTTCTAAAATTCAAGAATATATCCATGTCAAATGACCATGGACATAAATTTACTGTGATTCAAATTAAAAAGATTTGAATATATTTCCTGAGAAAAATAAATGATTTTAACAACGATTTACCAGATGGGGTTGGTGCACAATTAAGTGCATCTATTAAATCCTCCCAGTTGAAAATTTTTCTAACTAATAAGGACCGGCTCAGTCCTTTCCATATACAAGACCTTAGCTGGCAGTGTGCTCACAATCTCAAGTGAGAAAAACTTCAAGCAACCAAAAGACAGTATTTTCCAGCATTCCTATAAACCATGAAATACTGAAAGATTTTTAACTAGAAGCCACAGTAACCTGAAAACCTTCACTATGGGGTTAAATCACTCAAAACAATTTTGAGTCTTAAATTGACCTTACATTTGTTAAAAAGGGCCCCAAAGTAAATCAGGTACCCATCTTAATACAAACAAAACACTCAAAGTGCTGCAATAGCTCAACATGTAAACTGTCATGCAATAAAGATACCCCATGTATTCAAAAGTTTAAAAACCCAGTTGTTTGGTAGTGCCTCAAATAGCAGTAAGCTCCCTATCTGTAGCAGAAGTAAAGACCGGAACAGTAAACCACGTGCCAGATAGTGTGGGTTGGCTAGCAGGTCAGGCCTACTGGCTGACTGATGTAAAACATTTATTCCAAATCTGAGACATAATGATTTTTACAAACCTTGAAAAATGTGTTAATTCCTCAATGATCTCAGTTACTTCAAATTCAATTTCTTTTTCAGATTTGTGTACACAGAGCCTATCAAGAAACCTTCTTACTCTCTAAGCTTAACATGAATACTGTATTCTTATGCTAGAGGTTCACCTACCTTTTTCACAGAGCTAAAATGATTTCAGCCAACTGATAATTTGTGAAATAGTATGTCTCTCCACAAAGGGTTATTACTGTTTTACTCAATTCAATTTCTTACTTATTTAGACTTAATTTCCATAAAAGCCCCTTGTTACTTCCTGGTTTAAGTGACTTTTATTAATTTCCTTTGATTCTACCTGTACAAGAATTGCCCAGAAATTCTTATGTGGCTCTGTCAGCTGTACCTATCCTAGCCTGGCTCTTACTTCATGGAACACTTCCTTCCTCAAACCTGCTAAAGCATGTTACACCTTAAGAAGTATTAGTTTCCAATGCCCTGAAGAAACTCCAAGTACTACAGGATAATTTAACAGTGCTTTTTCTGGCTGATAATTCTCTTTAAAATTACCTTTTTCCTTGCTTGTTGGTCTTTGGAAGAATGTGCCTTCACATGCTTTCTTAGGGAACTCGGGTCTGTATAGCGTTTGGTACATCCTGGAATTTGACAAGCGTAAGGTTTCTAAATAAGAGAAGAAAAAAGAAAAACCAGCTGTGGTTAAATTATAAAAGTAACTGGGGAAAGTTCTACTCAAAGACTATCTAGAACATGAACTGTTACCAACCAACTAATGGAAACTTCTATGTAATACTCAGGTTTTAATTAGAAAGCCCAGAAACTTGGAATCATGGTAGAGAGGACAGTAAACTTTCAAGAAACAAAAAGCTATCCAATCCTTGATGATTTTGAAGAGACTGCTTTAGATTGCACTCTAACCACAAAACCGCTTGTGGGATTTTTAACGAGGAAATTATTAGTAAGCATCTCCAGTCATACTTACAGTTATGTTTCCCTGAGAACAATCTTTGGTATTGTCTGAAACTAGTAAACACATATTCTTTAAGAGTTCAGGTAAAGAAGCTGTAGAAAAGTCCAGAAAAGACTGGGTATGTGTCAGAAGAAACCTGATTCAGAAAGAGAGAAGGAGAGAATTAAGAAGGAAAAATTAGCACAAAGTGAGTAAGAGACAGTAAGTTTCAAATAACAGACACATGAAACATTAGCAAGAAGAACATTAATATTATTAGTTGCAGAGGAGTCCTAGTGCTGAGCCTGAGTTAATTGAGTAAGCACACCCCCCTGAAGCATGATGAGGAACACACTTCCTGGCTACTCCCCGTGCTCCTGAGAGATGTGAGGCGTGTGCAGTCTGAGATCTGGAATCTGCTTTATTTTCATATTCCTGGTGCTTGGTACATACTGTTTAGAAATGAGTGAATGAATGAATGAATGAATGAATGAATGAATGACAGACCCCCACATGCACAACAATTCCAGCATATAAACTATTTCTACTATAATGGCAAAATTTTTATCAAGAGTTTTAAAACCAACACTATTCAGTTACAAGATCAGTCCCAATCTTTTGCTTAATCCAAGAACCAGAGGGATAAAAAATTCCAGGATTAATTGTGGTTGTAAGATGTATTAATTGTCACTCATCTACTTAGGGACTCAGTACTTCATCAGGTGAGGTATGAGATCTGTGCCTATACGAGGTGAAAGATAAGGAGAACTAAAACCTTATCTCCAAAATAGTAATCTTGCTCTAGAAAGCTTCTACACTACTGGCCAAAAAATTCAGATTTTCTTTTATTGTTTATGTTGTACTCTTGTTTCCATGTGCATGCTTGTCATTTTGTGGGCCAACATACATGTGGGTTATATTATTTTCCTTGCTGGAAGCAATATTTATGGTTCACTACTTTTTCCTCCCATTTTAATTCCAAGAACAAGGTAAAATCATGAATATGTAATTTAATTTGACATAGTCAGTTTGAATTCTAAGTTTAATATCTGCCGTGTCTGTCGACTGGCTGACCGAGATCACTAAGTAGTTCTCAGCCTCTTCCAGAACGTGCTAGGCACTGCCTTAGTGGATGGAGCAGAGGATGAACAATAGATGAACCAGGTTCCTAATACTTCGAAATGTTTACAAAATGGGGGCTAATTATTGAAAAGTTACTTGCCAGTTTGCTTCCATTTAGTAAACAAAGATTTGGTTAACCTGCAAATCTTTTGTAGCTTTATAGAGCTTTGTTAAACTAGTCTTGCCTCCACTGTCTGAGCTTTAGGGAAATAGTAGCCCAAATCTGTACTTGAAGTGCCATTATGAGCACCTAAGTTCGTGTTTTAAGCGCTGGAGGATATGTTTCATGTATAAAGGCTTCATGAATACTAACATGTTACAGAAGTTGACGCATATATGATTTGGGATGGTAATGTCATTGGTATTTAATTTTGAGATGTTCTTGGACAATGTTTAAATATTCACCATTCCTCTCAAGGAGCCATTACTCTCTGCTCTTGCTGTCTGCCATCTGGGACCAGGGTATCAAAACAGCAATGTCAGGGACTGGCCTAAGTACTAATCTGTCCTGGTCACTTTATAATGGATTACTTAAGCTTTAAACAGGACGCTTTACTTCATTAAACTAAATATTTCATTGTTTTCCATATGTACTGATAATTGTTTTCCTTGTTTAGATATTAAAATGTTAATTGAGAAATGAATTGAAAAAAACATTTCAGGGTTATAATTAAGAACTGAGTAATCTTTATAGGAAAATCACTTTCCTATGTGTAAAGAATCCACTTTGTTTGAAACAAAGATAACTTTTCTAAAATTCTGACAGCATTTGCCTAAGAAATGATTAATGAAAGGGAACAGAAACCTAAATTTAAATCATAAATTCTTAAAGCAACTATAGTTTGCGTCTTACAACAAATATTTAACTTCAATATGGTTTCAAAAGCTCACCAGTTTGTTAAATTAGTAAAACTTCAAATAGCTTGTTTGGAACTTCAAGGAAAAACTGGTAGTTTAAAAGATTTAATAGAAAAAAAATTTTTTCAAGAAAAAATAGCTGTTTTAGGAAGTAATGAATTGAAATGAAATCTTAAAATTATCATCGTAGGTAGCTTTTCTCAAAAGTTTTAAAATGAGGTACATAAATTTTAAATTCTGAAATGAATTTTAAAAATGCTTTTTGTTAGTCAAAATTAGTACCAAGAAAAGGGTACTGTAAAACTGTAACACTTAACCTCACAACAGTTCTTTCAAACTACAGATAACTAGTTAGCATATAAGCAATTTCTCAAGACAATTGTCTCATGAATGTTCATTCTTCCATGATAAAATTTAATGACAATTTGGAAAATTTTTGGCTTCCCAAAAGACCATTTTAGATACAACAAAATAGGGTATTTAAGCATAATTTATTTTTTCATTTTTCTACATTAAAAATCCCACTACTTACCACATTTATTCATTTAATAATCTATTCTATTGATCCTAAAAATATCACTAAATTCAACTTGGCAAAAGCCAGAAAGAACCATCATACATCCCTATTATTCTAACTATATTTCAGATATTTATAAGGCAAACATTACATTAATGTATATTAGAGATAATTCTGTTTAGAATGGTTATGTGACATATAGTTAAAATGACTTGTATCAATGTGCTGAGAGAGACTAAAATAAAATTTAATAAATATGTCAACTATAACATCAGAAGAATCTTAAATATGTATGAGAAGGTGTGTAGAAATAACAGTATCTTTTCAAAATTCAAACTCTGGTGTAGTTTAATAATAGACATCAGAATGTTAATGCTGAGAAAGTACTGTCATGAATACATTATTAGCAAGAATGTGGGATAAAAGATCTGTGATGTCTATAATACACTTATCCCAATGGCTTTGTTAAGTGAAGTGAAATTACATAGGTCTACTTGGCCTCATGTAAGAAAAATGACATCAAAGCCTATCAACCTAAGGAGGCCTATCAACATAATTGGAAAAATAAAAGGCATAAGTTAAACAGAAAAGGTGTTTGTGAATGAGCAAAATGTAGCTGCACTAAAGGAGTTAAAGGTATGATAATAAAAATCAATTGTTCTCATAGGGTTGATATCCAAGGATACGTGGCTGTTAACACAGAAGAAGCATGAGAAATGGAGCCCTCGGGAAATATCTGCTGTTTCTTTCTAGATTTCTTGAAGGTGAAAATACCAGGTGTTTCTAAAGCAAAAGGCCAGATTCACTTTCAAAATCAGTCAGCTGCAAAGTTGTTACATCAAAAAGAAATGCACCACGGTCAACACAAGCAAGCAAACACACACACACACAAACACACACACACACACACACACACACCTCTTATTTCCCGCAGTAGCATACACTGCTATTCTGGTATGTCTCGATAGTTAACTACTTATTTTAATAGTCTTTATTGGTGATTGTATTAAAAATCTACTATAGGATATCATCTAAATGCTTTTTGTTTTATATATAGAAGTAACCAAGTAACCTTCTATTTCAGGAAGTTCTAAATATTATTTAGTATAAACCGTGACTATCAAAAAATGAAACAGCCACACAGGGCCCCTTTGAGCACTTTACCAGGTCCTGCTGCTGCCCTAGGGACTGTCCCTATGACCTGCAGGTTATGAAGCAAACACTTGCACTGCCCCACTATTAGAGGGGCACTTCTGTACACTGGGCTTTGCTGCAAGGTAGAAAGCTGCCACCATCCTTACAGTGTCCAGATGTGTCCTCTGGTGTTTGGCACGGTCACTGGAGTTGCTGAACGCCTTCTGACAGCCTGGGTGCTGGCACAGGTAGGGCTTCTCGCCTGTGTGGCTTCGCAAATGAATCTTGAGATTCTCGAGCCTGGAAAAGGCCTTCTTGCAACCTTCAAACTGCAAAAGGAAAACAATCTTTGGTTGTTGAGAAGGATCTTGAGGGATTTGGGGGGTGGGTGGAGGACAAAGTCTTCAGTTTATATTTAGCTTAAAACAATAAAACAAAATGAAATCCAAATAGGAACGAGTACTACTGCTAAAATTATTCATGTGCTTACGTGAACTGCATTTTCTCACTGTATATATATATTTCTATATGAATATATATAGATACTAGATTTGGGTCCGAAACTGATTTCTGTGATCACTATGTTAGAAAAAATTCACAGTGAGCCATCTGGCTTAGTTAATAAAAATACAGTAATATGTGTCTTAAAAACTTATTAAAAAATTAACACACTTTTCCATTTCCAAATTGGTCTACATTGAAGGAAGCAGGAAGGAAGAAACTTTTTGACAAATAATAAACTAACAGGAAAAATCGGAATGATGTATGAGAAAAAAGAATTGAAGATGTGAAGTCCAGGATGAAAAGAGCATGTATCCATTAACTTGATAGGATCAGAATTTCCTTAACTGTACTTGAAACTGAGTACCTTATTAACATGTAGGGTAGTGTTATAAACACACTTTAAAATGAACTAAAATCAGAACAATTCATTTAATGTTAAATTATTTTCCCAATAATTTAACTTTATTTTTACAATTTTTCTTACGTAATTCATTAAGAGAATTAAAAATGAAAGTTTGGATATTACAACAAATATGCCTTTGTTTTATCAATATTTATTGACAATAATATTTGCTTAATATCTCTGTGGGCAAAGTAACAGCTACTTCATAGGATCAAAGTGATTCTAATCTTTAAGTGACAGGACAATAAAGAAAATGTTATTAGGAAAAGCATATAAATGAAGCATGCATTTGAGATGGAGATTTATCATGTAACACTCCCTTTGGTGCTAAACCCAAGAATACTTGTGTGACTTTGACAGTTTTAATTTTATTTGAGTACCCGCTAGAAGGGAAAGTTAAAAATATAAATAAAGCTATCTGAATAAAGTATAATATACTTAAAGTCATCAAAAAACCTCACTTCTTAAAGAGGATCATAGAGGTAGGAATACTACAGGAAAGAATACAAGAAGATTTTGATTCAAAATTAGCAGGAATCACATAGCCTCACTGCAAAGATTTAATGAAACTCCTTGGTTCCCCTATTACAATGGGTGGTGTAGATCACTGTGCATAAAGGATGATCCAGAGCCAGCCAAGTTTTGGTGACTGCATTTTTCATCTCCAAGTAAAAAATTAACTAAGTAGAAAGAATAATCAAACATGTCATAACTCCATCTATTTAAGTTGCTCAGATTTTGCATGCTGGAATATTTTAAGAAATTTATGAAACTTGCACTTATTTTTGATTGAGAGTTATACATGTTTCACAGACATATGTTGGTTTATTTCAATTTGATATTTTGCTTAAAATAATTTTGGTGTTTTCCTGATTTCTATTTCACATAAAAATAAATTTAGCCTCAATGGAAAATGAATGCTGACGAAGCCAAGTACATTTTTTCAGCAGCAAAGGGCATATAATGCCATGTCTTAAAGGAAAAAAAAAGAGTTGCGGGGATCATTTTTGCAGGTTTTCAAGTTTCTGAAGTTTAAGGATAAAGAGGCTCAAAATTAACTCTTAATTCACAGCTAAAGTGGTCTCCGTTGGCCAAACCTCTTGTTTTTAAGGTTCCCTTTGAATGACAGCCCAGAGCAAACTCCTGGAGCTCAGTTTATTTTACTTGGAATCACCTGGTGCACCACACTTAACCCTGAAATGAGCCTGTGGTTTTGGACATGCTAAAACTGTAGCCTGATTCCTTGCAAGGTTCTCTCATAGGGTAAATTTCATTCTGGGGCCAGCTCAGGGTCCATACCCAGAGCTTGTTTGACCCAGTATTCTCTTCGCCCTTCTGAGTCTTCTCAGAGAGAAAGCTGTATTGCTTTGGTACCAGCGTGGGAGTGGAGAACAACATTAGAACAGAAGCAGCTTCCTGTGAGTACCAGATTAAGCAAGACCTTTAGTTCTACAGTAGAGTGATCAGATGGGTGCTAGACTAATTCAAGTTGTCCACATGATCAGACATAAACTCCATGCAGGCTAGCAACTCCCAGGTCTTCCCAGTTAAATGTTCACTTAAATGCTCAGTTAGAATTCAGCTGACTGCTGTCATGACTATTAACAGAAGAAATAATAAAACCCTCCAAATCTCATTGCATTTCAAGCAAATAAATGAAAATGAGTAACATCTCAGAATACCCTGACCATTTTAAAATAGCAAAGGCAGAAGAAACAATGAGCAGCCAGGTTGAAAATGAAAACAAAACCACTGTCTAGTAAATAGTAAAAGTCCAGCTGATAAAAAAAATGTTTCTTCTGTAACAATAAAGGCCAGGAGCATCAACTTCTTTTAGATTTTCAAGGGGAGAACATTAAGAGTGAAGTGTTTTATCTCATTGAGTTGTACACATAAATTCAGAAGAAAGGCAATTTCACATATACAAGGGCTCATAACATATACTACCTATTCATTCTTGCTGATAAAACTAACTTGGAGAAACTATGATCCCAAGACCAGTTAAAGCAGGCACTGAAGGCCTGTCAAAGGATTAGGTGGGGTGCCTAACACCTACGCATCACAAACAATTACATGAATCCATGACACTAAAGATACTGCAAGAAAAAGGAGGTGCTGTTTGCTCTTCTAATGGTCTCTGGATAAAACTTGAAAGCAAATAATTTTATAATGAATCATTATCATTCATTATGGGACTAACCTGATAATTAAACATAAGAATTTCCTCTTCCTGAGACAGTTTTTACTCTTAGATATTTTACTTGAGTTTTTATTCTTTAGACATTCTTAGATATTTTCAAAATTAATAATAGGCATGTTTACATTAGAAGATACACCAAAACTGGATTCTTGGGTGTTTGGGCATTGGATACTTTTTATCCTCTTTCTTAGGTTCTCACGTTTTCCAAATCTTTATTAAATACTTATGACCTTGTAAATGAATATTTAAACTGGGGGAAGCAAGGACTATTCTAAGCAATTTCCTGGTTTTGATTGTAGGGCTTTTCGCTAAAGTTCCTATAGAGTAAAACACATCCTGAAAGGCAGGGTCAAATTGTCAACTGACTGCACTTCTCATAGTTACCAACCAAAATCTCATACAACTGAGCATTGGCTTTGTCTCAGGTCCTCTTCTTCCTGGACTGACTCTGGAACCATGAAACCAAAGCCCAGGGATCTAGAACTGGATCACCAGGCCTGAGGTTGGCCAACATTTATAGATCATATACGGTTAGGTAAGAGGAAAATAACACCCAGTCAAACGTTAGAGTCAACAGGGAAGTTCAAGGGTGAAAACACAGGACACAAGAGAGGCAAATGGCAAAAATGTGCAGCCAGTGGCGGGAAAGTGAGCTGGTATTCACTGAACATATATTCCATGCTAAGCTTCTTGCTATGTGTTTTCCTCAGGGCTGGTAATTTTGCTTAAATAACACTCTTTATCCTCCAAAAAATATTGAATAAATCCTACAGAAACAAAATGAATAAAATGCAAAACTGATTCACATGAAGATAGAAATGAAAGTCAGTGCATATGGTTGGCCAGGTTCTACACTGAAAAGCTCTTAAGAGTGATACTCAAAGACATGGGTCCTAGACCAGGGGCAGCATCAGCATCACCTGGGAATCTGTCAGAAAATCTCTGACCTCATTAATGTGCATGGGACCTCTCTATCTCTAGTGTGAGCCAGTGAGTTAGAAAATACCATTCAGACTTCAGGCCCATTTTCTTACAACAACCTTCCGAGAGAAGGAAAGCATTTTGCAGAATCCATTATTTTCTAATTTGGACAAGAGTCATGTGGACTAACATAGTAGCAGCTACCCTAGGACTGAAAGGAGTATCTCCATTCCAGGGTAGGGCAAAGTTATCTTCATTCATACAGCAAATGGAACAAAAATCCAAAAATAGTCATCTCTTACTAGAAATTCTTTAAACTCATGACTTTAAATCTGCTACGAGGCAGATGTCTGGTTCTAAAATAGGAATGCCCACTCGTTCTCTCAGTCGCTTCCTGACCCATGAGACACCCCACATTTCTACGGCGCCTTACAATCTTCTGTTGTGCAAAATCACTGAAGGAGAGCCATTTGCACATTTCGGTGGAATTACAGACACATATAAGAATAGTGCATGAAATTGCAAGTGACAGAACTTTAAATTCCATGTTTTGTTTTGTTTTGTTTTTTTTAATCTCATGGATTTTGAGAAATACTGTACTGCATAAAGCCTCACTTTTGAGCAATATCTCTTTAACTTAAGGTTCCTTTTTTGGTAAAAAAAACTTTAATTAGAAATTTTAAATGGCCTCAAATCTAACAAATTTTACCTTGCACCACTTTTCTAATTTAGAAAATTATTTCATATTTAAAGAATCACTCTGGACTGCAATCATCATCTCTATATATTAGTTTGATTAAGGATTGCTGACATTAAGTAACATTAAGATGACCTCTGAAATACCACTTTCTCTTTCTATTAGAAGCTTTTGTGTAAGGTTCTAAAACTGAAAGCCTCATTAGACACAATTAAAATGGGATTTATTCCATATGCGTAACCAATAATCAAGAGAATATTACTCCCATCTTTAATCAGCTACTTAAGCATGGTGAGAAGTTTGTATTCAAAGCAGTAATAACAGCAAACCTTCTTGATCAGGTTTCTTTACAATTGCTAATGTCAACAAAGCCAAACAGAAAGGAGTCTATGATGCTGGACATGTTTTTTTTTTTTTAAATATACATTTGATTTTAATTAAGGCTCAGTGTTGATGAGCATTGAGGTATACACATTTACAATTTCATCAGTCAAGACCAATTAGTCTCATTAGTGATAGCTGCCACAAATGATATGTAGCAAGGACTGATGAATTACAGTATATGCTAGTTTATTTCTCCACACCAGTCCAAAGACAACAGAGA